ATTAATGATCACAATCATTGGTGGGGACTTCACGCGTAGCTGGTTGTCTCTACCGCTGTCACACGGCATTAAAGTCAAAGGCGAAAAAAAAAATCCACGTTTGAGGGGACCCTGGAGCCGCATCCTTTTCGTCACCATGCGCACGTTTGAATCAGGTATCGTCATCCGAGGAACCAATCTCCATATCTTGGTATTGATCCAATACCTCTTGTCTCTCTTCTCTGTTCATGCCTTCCCAGGCAGATTCTTTCTTAATCTCCTCTTCTGTCGTTTCCATTAAATTTTCGATGCTTTCTTCGTGCTCTTCCTGGACATCATTCCTTGGTCCACATTCAACTGCAAAGCTGGGAATTAAACCTTTAGTTCCTATTTCAAGTATGTTCCAAAGATACAAGACCTTCCGAGGAAAAAACTAGATGACGGATGGCCCGAGAGCGTAGAGGAGCAGAGTCTTCTGTTGTTAGTATGGAGACACTATATTACAAGATAATATATTAAAGATGTATTATAGGCAGACGAGAAGAGTAGTATCAAGACAATATATGACTAGTACAAGACAATAGTTTGCATCGTATTTTTGTAACGTTTTTCATACACAGAACTTTTTACAGACAGACGCTTTTGCACACAGAGACTTTTACACACAGACGCTTTTACACACAGACGATTTTGCATACAGAGACTTTTACACCCAAACACTTTTACACACAGAGACTTTTACATACACAGACGCTTTTACACACAGACGCTTTTACACACAGACGCTTTTACACACAGACGCTTTTACACACAGAAGCTTTTACACACAACGCTTTTACACACAGACGCTTCTACAACAGAGGCTTTACACACAGACGCTTTTACACAACAGACGCTTTTACACACAGACGCTTTTACACACAGACGCTTTTACACAACAGACGCTTTCACACACAGACGGTTTTACACACAGACTCAGAAGCTTTTACACACAGAACTTTTTACACACAGCACTTTCACACACAGAGGCTTTTACACACAGAAGCTTTTACACACAGGCGCTTTTACACACAGACGCTTTTACACACAGACACTTTTACACACAGACGCTTTTACAC